TCTCGTGGTTCAGTCATGTTCGTATTGTTACTCAAAAAACATAAATAAATCACACGTGTCGATACAATTAATTATGGAATTAGTGAAAATAAGAAAGGAAAAAATTTAAGCGTTTGTTTGGCACACTTTATTTGAAATTCATTTTTCCTCAAAATCTAATTTTCCACAAACAAATACTAAGGCTTCATTTGATTGCAAGGAATTTTATGGAAAATGTCACATTCGAAGAAAATGAATCTCACTTTGACCATTTGATTGCAACATGGAAATAGAAATCGAATTCCAAAATTCAACCACTTTAAGCTGTATTTTCTTCATTTTTATGGAAAATGAATTTTCGTGGGTTTGGTGGGTTTTTATTTTTCAACTACCATGAAATTGGAATTCATTTTCACATTTGCCTATCAAACGCACTTCAAATGAGAAATTTTAGTACTTCATTTAGATGAAAAAGTAAGAATTTCTAGATTAATGAAAATGGTCAATTTATCGTGGGAATGCTCGAAAATTAATAACGTACGACTAACAATGGGCTGAGAATAAGTCAGAGCAAGTTTCATTGAAAATGTTCATCTACTCATATGCATCAGGAAATAAGTCAATGAGGCTTGAAAATGATCGCCTTAGAAAATAATTATTCACCAATTTGAGTGAGTCCATGGCACAATAAAGAGAGATTATATTTAGTCAAAAAAAGAGGAGTCAAGACCATGCTATAGATGACATTTTATTTTTATTTTGAAGGAAACGTATTCTCATCCCGAATTATCATAAATTGCAAATTTCGCAATAAAATTCAAGATTTTCTCAATCAAAACCGATACAAAGACTTGAAGTGGCACTGTTAACAAGAACATGAGCAACACGATCCGCTTCGTGGATCTGGTTGGTGGATTAGTTAGATCATGTACAACATTGTAACAATCGACCGAGGTGATGGCAAGGTCATAAGAGTGTGAGAAAATTAGTCCCTCCAAAATTGCAATACATTCAACAGTGTACGACGAGATTTTCTCAACAAAAATCTTAGAAAAAGTCGCAATCATATCGTTAAAAAAATTGATAAAAATTCAAGTCAATGTAAACAATTAATTTTAATCACAAATTTATTGAAACCTTCAACTTTTAAACGACACATTTCATTTATTTTATCAAAATTTACTAAAAGTCTGATTTTTAACTAAACCAAACAGGAATAAAACAACAATAATAAAATATATTGTCACGACATCTCTCTAGTAGTTATATATGATATAAAATATGTACATGATGAAGAGGGAATCAACACCAAACCCAAGTTGACAATATGGGGAAGCATTTATTTACAAGAAATCCTTCACAACCACCACAAAAACTACAATAGCAATAACCATTCAACTTTGAAGATATCGCACTTGCTATAGATTGATGAGTTGAGATTTGTTGTCCAATTTTAATATTCATTTAACTGTCCAACAAATTAATTATTAACACATCATCAATTTAGTAGATTAGTGGTGAAATTAATGAAGGTAAATTTGAAATGATATGCTAATTATTGATGACATATTCCTAATTAATTGGTCGGCTAGTCATTTGGACAGCAAAATTGGACCGCAGATCTCAACTCTAGATTGAGGCATTCATCCTTACCCAAACCAAAAGAATTAGGGTTTTGAGTTCGGATCCTCAACTATGAGAATTTGCTTTTACGTAAACTTGTGGTCCTTCATCCCCACAGCCACTACATACTAAATCAAATGGCACACACAATGATAGTGAACTCCCGATCACGATAATTTGGATCTTCTTGTTCTATAATAATTTAAAGTCAATGTAAACATATTCATTTTCTTAAACTACAAAATACATTTGTACGATCATGATTACCTTTTTTGGCTAGCAGACGATGATCGTGGTCTTCAGAGCAAGGAATACCCTCCATCTAAGCCACTTCATTTCTTCTTGTTAAAATTACTTTTTTTTTTTGTTCTAGTTGCTTTTCATTTTGTCTAACTCATTTTTTTCTGCGTATTCTTCTGTTTACTAAGTCAACTATAAAATTATATTAAAGACTTCAATTTGTCAATTACAAGTGGTTAAATAGCTATCATTGGTGAAGAAAATTGGACATTAGCCCATAAATCCAAAAAAAAAAAAAAAAGTCGCTTGTTTCTTTTTGTCCAAGTCACACTTTAAGCAATTTGTCAATTATAAGTGCTTGAATCGCTATCAATAGTGAGAAGACATTTGCCCATAAATTGTTAAATGTATAAGCAACACGCAATGTTTGTTTAAGCATCGGTTTCAAAGACGTCCTTCAAGACAACTACTATAAATATTGGAAAATTCATACGATGGGAAGAAGAAATCAATTAATTCAATCTCAAAATAAGCAGCGCATGCATATTAATCTACCTTTGACTTAGATTTATAAGGGATTTTACTATATGACATAATGCCGATCTCCTCGGTAGAATTAACTTGCCAGCATCTCGTCTTCGCATTTCTATCTATTTATACGCGGTTTGCACAATAACACGCTATTGTTTCAGAAAGAGGTCCGTAGACCATTTGTGCTCCACGATCAAATCACTTGTCAGAATAAAATATAACCTCTGTTCGGTATAAATTAAAATCATATTTTTAATAAATTTTGCTAAAAGTTAATGGAATGAAAATGGACCTTAATAATTGGTTATCCTGACCCATTATAAAATCCAAGCAAGGCAAAAACTCATGAAAAGATAGTTTAGCACTTTGAATTGGGGTTTTGCTATGTGTCAATTGACACTCCAGTGTACAATCTCCTTCACAATAGGAGGTTCACAATTTTTTTTATTGATCGTGGATCCCCTTTGTGAGTGAATGACCCCGATGTACAAATTATGGATCCCCTTTGTGAGTGAACATTCTTCAGTTCTTTGTTTTCATATTATGGAATGTTACTGTAATGGTGGAGTAAACATCGTATTTTGGGAGATGTGTTGGCGAACTGTGAGCAATTTCGTTTTAAGAAAAAAATATAACTCTTGCCTCGATCAAATTTCTTTCTTCTACATCTCTCGTTCTACTTTCTATAACGAAAACTCGATATCTAATTTTTTGCATGTGAAAAGTTTATTACAAAAGAATAATTTATGTACATGTAATTTCATTAAATCCATGTAGTACTATTGATGAAATGTGCATTAAATTTTCAAAATGCTAAGACTTCACCAAACTGTGAATTAAATTAGACAGTTTGATCTGGAGTACACTCTAAATCCCCGTTTGGTTCAGCTAAAAAATTGAATTATAATTTAAGTCAAAATCAACATTCATATATCTCATTAACTTTTGTGAAAATATAATTTTTATCTAAACCAAATAAGGACATAATGTCTTTAGTTTTAAATTGTAATGTGTATTTTTCACGTGTTGGTTGTTTGCTCCTAGGAATTCAGCACTATAGTTTACATGACAGACTACTCGTGAAAAAATACGAGTTTATTCTTATCAAAGTGAAACGGATCGATACAAATCACTCGAAGGGATTGATTGTCCTTCACCTATGCTTGGAATATCACGATATGAAGGGCTTGGTGGTGGTTCTTTTTTCCTTACTTGCACTTGTAACGGTAAGATATTGTTCATTTGAAGGGATCGGTAGCTCTTGTAGGCAAGGGCGGACCCAAGAAAGAAGTTCAGTGAGGGCAAAACAAAAAAACGTTGAAAAAAAATTTGAAAACCTAAAAAAAACATGGACAAAAAAACTAAAAAAATCTGAAGAAAAATCGGGAAATCTGCAAAATCAAGGGGGGCCCACTGGGCCTCAAGTAGGTCCGCCCCTTCTTGTAGGGATGGTATATCTTCTCTTAATACTTAATTCGGTTTGGTTCTATCCAAAATCAGATCGTGCCCACCCTAAACAAAATTATTCCAATAAGATGGGGAAAAAAATCTTAAAATTGTGTCACACATCATTCATCCTCATTGCATTACTATAACTAACTATAACATGTTAAAATTTGGTGCATTCAAAATAACAAGCAAATCTTTCACACGTTTATCGAGCATAATACTTTAAAAAATACAACAATAAATAAGAGTTTATTTTTATTTTTAATAGTATTATTTTCTATATAGATCTCCAAACGTGCTATCATTTTATCAATGGTGTCCATCTCCCGGACTAGGGCCAGAATTAACTATTCTGCCTGAATTTTTCTTCGGGCCATTAAAACTGTTTCTTATTCCCTGGCTTGGCTCGGAAATCTCCACCAGCTGCTTCTCATTCAAGCCCGATGTCCTTTGCAGTGGCCGGCTGGCTTCGGCTGTGTAAAAATCCTGGCTCAGTAATATCATAGAGAAAAAAAGAAATAAGATTGTGAAAAATTGGTACAATTTAGCCATATCAATATGTGGTGATTGTAACCAATCTCGTGTTTATGATTTAAGGGAATTCAAATGCATTAATTTATAGGCGCTAGGATCGTGTCTTCACTAGTTTACGTGACTTTTATTTGTTATTGTAATTTGTCGTTTGGGGTAGACGATATGAAATAAAAAATTTCTATGAATGGAATGTTTGTTACACAGGACTAGACAATAAAAGAAAAAAAATAAGAGAGTAAAAATTATTAAACTCAACTTATAGGGAAATTCCGTAATCAAACTTTATTTTGTTTAATAGCTTTTTAGAGTTCAATGTGAGAAAAAAGAATTGCTTAGGGATTTATAGTAGTAGATATTGTTGGGGAATAGGATTGTTTTGGAATTTAGAGTAATATGATAAGGATAAATTTAAATGTACAAAATATTTTACCTAATTTTTTACAAATTGGATACTTGGCGCCCCCCTGTTGGAGGGGCGCCAAATTTCCAGTTTGTCAAAAATTAGGTAAAACATTTTGTGAGTGTAGCATGGTCCATATGATAATATTGGTTCTTGGCTTGATTTAGATTGTTTTATACAGTACAAATTTGTCTTTGTTAAGAGATAAAATCCTTCATCAAATAAAGATAAAAACATAGACCAATTTATAAGAGTTTGGACTACTCCTCCTAATAATGTTGACATTTAAAACGGAACCTCAAATCTTAACATGGTATCAGAGCCCATTAAGCTCTAACGAGCGATTCGATCCGATTAAGATTCAAAAAAATTGAGCACAATGATTTCAAGATTAGTCTGCTCAAACGAGTCACCATCTTGAGATGACATGTTAAGAGATAAAATCTCACATCGAATAAAGATGAAAACATAGACCAATTTATAAGAGTTTGAGCTATTCCTCCTAATAATGTTGACCTTTTAAGATGGAACCCCAAATTTTAACAGTTTTCGACACTCAAAATTTTAATAATTACTTGTTTTCTGATAATTTATATAAGGAATATGCTACTTGTACATAATGTGGTGTCTATAACGGTGTCCACTACCTCACATGGATGTGGTCCACTTGGATATATTATATTTTATTCAAAGTGTGTCCCCTACATGTGAGGGAATGGATACCGTTATGGACACCCCATTATGTACATGTAGCATCACCCTTTATATAATTGGGAGAACAAAATTTGTACATTGAATTCGAACAAAACTAAAGCATCGGGACTCAACTTAGTCGAGTTTCATGATCAACCTTTGTTGTTTCAAAATTGTCATTCAATTTTGCATTTCAGATTTTACTTCAGAGTTTCGTCACTAAATTCAATTCTTGAGTAGCAGCCGCCACCTTTGGGCTGTGGACTTGTGGTTGGAGAACCAAATTCAATATTTTCCAGAAATGATGGAAATTTGATGCGGACAAGAAAAAGATATAGGACGTAATGTTTTGTTTAAGGAACAAAATTTCGTATTTCAACGGGGTACAGTTAACGCGGTACTATTGTTTCTTATCGAAATATCGAGTGATTTCAGGATGCAAGGATGCATGTTTTAGAGTGACGGGACAAAATTCATTGTAAATAGATATGAACAAAGTAAATACACATAATAAATTCTTCAAAAGTCTCTCAAGTTTATCTATTTGAAAAGAAAAAGATACGTAAACAAACTTGAACCTAAGTGCTATACGTGTAAAATACAATAGACGAACTTGATCCAAATTTATTCTAATTTTAGAAAACTAAAGAGAAAGGTGTTATTTTACCTAAATTAATTAAGATCTCATGTCTAATCAATCTAATTATTATTGGATAGGATTGTTGGAATTAACTGATAAGGTGTTAAATAATTAAATGTGATATTTAATTATGTGGGATATTGCAATTAATTTGGGTGACTTGAAAAAGTCTCCAATATAGGTTCATAAGTTGACAAGCTCAATTTTAAGTGTTTTATATATGGTAAGGAATCTCACATAGAAAGTTTACAAGAAAAAGGATTTGTTTATATAGTGGGATGTGTGTATAAGTTATAATTTCCGTCCTCGGTCCTGGTCAGCACACGTCGCAAAGTTCGCATTAGGCGCATTAGAGGCGCACTTCGCACATACGCATCGTCACTAGGAACTGGGAGCCTTATAGTTTTCGAAAATGGACTCATGGTTCGATGACANGTGGTTATTCCGTTCGAGTATGATCATTCTTTGGTTCGACCGACAGGCTGGTATTGTGCAATATCGACTGAAAATGCATCTCCAGTGAACAGTGAGAATGAATAGCATTTCTCTTTGAGAAATAAAGTAAGGTTCGGAAATGTTTTTGAAATTAGTAGGTTTTTTTTTAATCAACTTGTGATGTGTTCCCAATACAAAAGCACGTTTTCCAGTGCTCAAGGAATCATTTCCAATTCCCGAGTGTTGCTTTTTTCTCGTCCATAAATTATTCGAAGGAAAAATTACATTATCTTCAACCTAATGCCTCAGCATCAAAGTCAGTCTTCAACTTTTAATAAAAGAGCGAAGTGATCGTTTCTTATTTTTCTTATTAGACTTTACAATCAATATCAAAATTGTACAATGATCGTTAAATTGTAAAGCGACCCCGTAAAAATATCACTTCGACTTTTTTTACACCAATCCAAGTTGGAGTGCAAAACTTAGCCTTATAAAATTAAATTCATAAGATCCACGTAAGTCTTTAATTTAGATTTGGACAATTTCATTATTTGGTGACTGGTTATGTAACAATAGTGAAATGTTAGAAACTAAATTGTTATGTTTTAAATATTGGGGGTGAGTTTACAAATTGAGAAATACACAGGGGCGAATATAAGGCATTATAGAATGGTCCCCATTCTATAGAAAATATAACAAGTAGGTCTATAACCTAATGTTTTGACAGACTAAGTCCCTATTCTTTAATTTTTGTAATATGTAGGTCCCTATTCTTTGTACTTTCCTAAAACTTATTTTCTTTATAATCTCGTTATAATTTCTTCCAAACGAGGCACTAGATTTAAAATATGGCCAGATTCAATGAACGTCGCAAATCATGTCGTCCCTGTTGTAGTGCCCAAAAGTCGATACAGCGTGATTCACCTTGCCTTTCGTTGTGGTTAATATAAGAAGGTAAAAATCCCTTCTCGAATCAAAAGTCACATTACATAGTCTGAGGTTTTCAGTCCTCTCCTCAATTATTATCTAAACTGTGTACTCTCAACGGTTCCTCGCCGCTGCTGACCACCACTAGGAAATGGCTTCTGACGGATTCCGGCCACTGGACGAGAAGTTATTGGTGGAGTACGTGAAGGCAACTCCAGTATTGGCTGATAAGCTGGGCAACCAGTTTGATAAGCTGGAAATTGAAGAAGTGGGCGATGGAAATCTCAATTTTGTGTATATCGTTATTAGCCCCTCTGGCTCCTGCGTTATCAAACAGGTAGCAAGATCAGTGCTCTCAAATCATTATTTAGAAATGGATCGACTTGCTAGTGTAAAAAGTTTTTCTTTTATTTATATATTTTTATTTGCTAGCCATTTTTCGGCATGTTCTCGACACATTTAAGCTCCCAAGAAAAGAAAATATGTTGAAAATCAATGACAGATGATGTTACTTTGATTTGATTACAACATATGGCTCCATCAATCAGACTTAATACCGAAGGGCAAAAATTCATCCATTTTCTTTGTATAGCCATGTTAGCTAGCTAGTGGTGATTGAGAAAGATGAAAGAAGCAAAAGAAGAAAGTGGAACCGGCTATCCAGGGTAGTAAATGAGGCTTTAAAATAAAAAGAAGACAACACCAGCATTCTTGGAGTTTCTTACATATTTTTTGTTTTTCTATGTAATATCTTATAGAATGAGGATTTCAATAATATTTTCTATTGTCATCTTACTCTAGCAAACCTTCATGATAAAAATCTACCTTGCCGAAGTTTTAATCAATCGGAAAAAGCTATATGATTCTCTAATATAATACATATTGGAGTGTCTAATATATAGAACAACTTCTAAATGAAGTGCCTTAAAATCTGAAGGTGTGTCATTGGGTAGATGTTAAGAGTTAAAGGCATCTTTCATATAGATCAAATATCATTTCTCAATGACCTTGATGAAAACTATGAATACTGTTCCTTCTCAGACTGTTTATAAATCTCTGCAGGCTCTTCCTTATATTCGTTGTATAGGGGAGTCGTGGCCAATGGCAAAGGAACGTGCCTATTTTGAAGCAATAACACTAAAAGAGCATGGTGGCTTGTGTCCTGACCATGTTCCTGAGGTTTACCATTTCGACAACTCGATGTGTTTAATTGGTATGCGGTACATTGAACCTCCTCATATAATCTTAAGAAAGGGATTGATTGCCGGGATTGAGTATCCATTGCTCGCAGAGCACATATCAGACTATATGGCTAAAACTCTATTCTACACATCCCTTCTGTATCTTACGACAACAGATCATAAAAGTGCAGGTAAGCAATTTGCTTGGTCTTATATAAATATAGGTTTATGTATTTACTACTTAATAATAGATTCACAATTTCATTTTTTTTTCTTTTTGACCTTTTTATGATCATCTAACAGTTGTACTAGATCTACAGTTGACTACAAGTGTTTATCAGATGGTTGATTTTATAACTTTAGAATGTGAAAACTCTGCCGGTAGCTTTTTGTTTAGTAATTGCAGACCCCCAAAGGCTTCTAATTTGTCTGTCTCTTATGTCGACTTTTTGTTCCATGCCTCAGTTTAATGGCCCTCACACCGTATCTTTTCTGATCAGCACCGTTATCATTTCCATTCATGTCCTTTCATTATCTCCTTCTCCCTTTCTAATTCAGCATTAGTTTTCTTCCTGGGTTCCATTCTCCGCTAGATGTAAGAAATAATGACGAGTTTAAGCTCCTACATCAAGTAATGTAGGAAGTCCGAACATATATACTAGGCTGTTCCTCCTTGTTAGTGAATTTTGACTATATTACTTTCTTAAATATGCATGTCTCATTAGTACTTCAATGCTTTTGCAGTTGCTAAATATTGTGGAAATGTGGAGATGTGCAGACTCACTGAGCAGGTTGTCTTTTCTGACCCTTACAAAGTTTCTGAACATAACCATTGGACATCTCCTTATCTTGATTCTGATGCCGAAGCAGTTCGGGAGGATAACCTTTTGAAACTTGAAATTGCTGAGCTGAAATCCAAGTAATCTGCAGTTTCTAAAATTTGATTCTTTATACTGCATTTTATTAATTTTTCAATAGATGCAGAATTTTTCCTTACATTTTTTTGGTAACCTTCCAGATTCTGTGAAAGAGCCCAAGCTCTTATACATGGTGATCTCCATACAGGTTCTGTCATGGTAACTGGAGATTCAACTCAAGTTATTGATCCAGAATTTGGTTTTTATGGGCCAATGGGATTTGATATTGGAGCTTTTGTTGGGAATTTGATTTTAGCTTACTTTGCACAAGATGGACATGCTGTTGATGGGAATGATCGAAAGGTATATTCTGACTCCATATTCCTTTTCATCACCACTAATTTTCTGACTATCTTAAGTTTTCTGCAATAACTCTCTGCTTCGCCAGTATATATTTTTTCTTGAAATTTTTACTTCTAAACTTTAGTTGTCTATTCAGTTTTCTCATATCTCTCTCTCCAACCCATAGAAATGGCATCTTCTAGAATTTTCCTTCTCATAGTTTGCTTGTCTTATCATGCATATAGTAAATAAATTACTTATATTTGTCCGTGTTATGATAGGAGGAAGTTCTTGAAATTAATAAATTTTTGTTGCATGATTGACAAAGGTGTGTAAATATCCCGTGCCCTGGATTTTCAGTTTGAAAGCTAGATTTTTTTATTGTAAAAAATTCAATTTTGTTAGTGAGGTTCTTGGACGAATTTGTTTCTAGAGTAAATTGGAATGACTGTTTTGTTTATCCTCAGTATGACTACTTCAGTTAAACATTGAAAGTAGTACGCTCAAGTTGTTTGTTGAGGCAACGAGTGTTCTTCTGATTGTTTATTCTTCACTTTGTGTTTGTATGGTAAAGCATCAATATTTCTTGAATTAGGCACTTCTTTGGCAAGGGTCTTTTATAAAAAGTAGATAGTATTTTTGATTGCCCAAAGTGACATTAGGATAGAGTAATTGTACATCTGGCTGCCAAATAGTGTGTTTTTTATGTGTATTGGGATCATAAATAGTTGTGCATTGCCCCCAGGGAGATGAGACATACATGTGTGTATTAAAATCTAACATTGTCATCAGGAGACAATTTATCCTTGTAGCCTCAACTGACTGCAACTTCCTATTTAGATCATATATGATATATATCAACATAGTTGATGATTTTAACTTTGATAAATTCAGCTGTAGAGGATGCAAATGTCAGCTGAAAAGAAATGCTGAGCTTGTCACTGAAGAGAAAGTTATGTCCTAACTGGTTCCTCTTTTTCCGTGCTTCATTACTTCCCAAGTAACATGATTTAAGGTCCCAATAACCTCCTGTTAGCGAGGTAGTAATAAGAAGGGCCAAATTTGGGATTTATTTACCTTTTTGGACTTCTTCTGAAACTTCCATGTCAATTTTGCTTTCAAAATTTCCCATCTGATTATGCCTGTTAGGAATGTGTGTATTCTTGTCCATGTTTTAATAGAACTAATGCCATACAATCTGTTAGTCTGTTTGTAAGAATCAAAGGATGTGCAGCAGAATAATTACTCATCTTGATTCAGTAGCTTATCAGTAAAAATTTCTTCCATGCAGCCATATAAAGTTTGGATTTTGAAGACTATAACAGAGACTTGGAACCTCTTCTATAAAAAGTTTACTGCTCTTTGGGATGAACACAAGGATGGTCCTGGAGAGGCATATCTTCCAGCAATTTATAATAATCCAGACGTACAGTTGCTGGTAAAACAGAAATACATGAAAGAACTTTTCCATGATACTCTTGGATTTGGTGCCGCCAAAATGATAAGGTTAGATGGGCTTTTCTCCTTTGTGAATCAGATTCTCAACATTGCGTCTTTATTGTACCTTCTGCTATTTTTCTCTCCTATATCATATACTTGCAGTGTCTTTGATTGGTGTAGAGTTTATATCGTAAGATCAGCATTTGTACATCACAAAGCTTTCATTGCTCCTTTATATACAGTTGTCGAGAAAGAATGAAACAATAATTCTTCCTTCCTTTCAGTCGTGTTCCAATATGTTTATTGAGCTTTCTTCTAATTAAATTTAAAAAAAATTCTTGACACCAATCATTTACGAGTGAGTATTACACCAAGAATTGTTCAAGGGGTTATTTGGAGGTCATTAATTATGTTATTTTTTTTTTTTTGCCGGGGGGGCGGCAATAAAGCTTTTTGTCATTTTCAAGTACTTGAGCACTTGGGTGGATCTATTAGAATTATGTACTTAAATGCATTTTTGCATTTGATGCTCCTTAATGCTTTTATTACTGCGGATAGTTAAAAAGTGAAGATGATAAACACACATCATTGATTAATTGCAGGAGAATTGTTGGGGTAGCTCATGTTGCAGATTTTGAATCCATCAAAGAGGCTAAAAAACGAGCTGTGTGTGAACGAAAAGCTCTTAACTTCGCCAAGAATCTTCTGAAGGAAAGAAGAGATTTCCAAAGCATTAGTGAAGTTGTTTCTGCAATGGAGCAACTCGATTCACAATAACTCATCTTCATAAATTTCATTTTTTGGGATATCTAGATGTGTTGGTTTTGAGGAATGTTCAGCAATAACTGCTGTGTGTGAATTTTTGTAATGGACCAATGTTGTATCAGATACAAGGAGAGATCAGCAGTATTTCACAAGGAGTTTTAACTGTTGAAAAATATTACACTAAATTGAAAAAACTCTGGGATGAATTAATGTGTTTAATGCCGATTCCCACCTGCACTTGTACAACATCTAAAGAGATCTCAGATCTAACTGCTTCTAATCAGTTGATGCAATTTCTGATGGGTTTAAATGATACGTTTGATAATATAGGATTCAGGTGCTAGTGATGGATCCACTTCCCTCGGTTAATAAGGCATATATGATGGTGTTGAGAGTCGAAAAACAGAGAGAGGTTCACAATATTTTTCCTGATTCCAATGAAAATTCAGCTATGCTAGTTAGATCCATGGATTACAGGAGAGAAAATGGAAATAGAGTGGGTTTTAACAGAAATCCTATGAGATATGGCTCAGGGAGAGGAAACAATAGAAAATTTGGAAACCACTGTGATTATTGCAACATGAAAGCGCACACTAGGGATAGCTGCTTCAAGCTGATAGGGTATCCAGACTCGTATAAAACAGTAAAGGAGCTGAGGCCTAGAAACTATGGAGATGGACGATTTTCAGCTAATATGATTGACACACCTCTGGATTTTGAAGAAGATAAGGTTGATCAAAACAGAGAAATGGATAACACAGCATCTGCAGACTTAGCAAATTTGGTAACACAGGAAGTACTAAAAGCCTTGAGAGGAAAGAAACTGATGGAAGCTGAAAATAAGGTGAACTTTGCCCACATCAGAGAATATGCAGGTATGAGTTCATATCATTCATTTTTGGCTTCAATTGATCATGTGAAACCAGGAACCTGGATAATTGATACAGGGGCTAGCAATCACATTTGCACTGATTTGAACTTAATGACAAAATTGACTCCCGTTACTCAATCCACCCTTATTTTCTTACCTGATGGAACCAACAAATCTGTTACCCACGTTGGAAATGTTAAATTGAACCAGAAATTACATCTAACAAACGCCCTATATGTACCTAGTTTTAAATTTAATCTCTTATCAGTACCAAAGATCACTCAAACAGCCAGCCTTAAATTTGTTTTCTATCCTAATTTCTGTCTATTGCAGGACCTGCAGAATGAAAAGGTATTGGCTGTTGGCAGGCTTGTAGGGAAATTATATTTGTTAGATGAATCGAGTTTTCTTTTCCAAGAAGATAGAAGTTGTGATAAATTGTTACTTCAATCTAGTTTTCCACCTTTTACTGGTTCTTGTAATCAAGTTTTCGATATTAATAACATTTCTGATTCCTTTTTTATTGATCGATTTCTTGAGTGGCATAATAGACTTGGCCATGTTTCTTTCCACACAATGCAGCACCTTGATTTTATTAAGCTTTTTCCAAAGAAATTAGATTTGATCAAATAATGTGAGGTCTGTCACAAAGCCAAACAACAACGAAATTCTTTTCCCATCAGTACAATACATACACTTTCTACTTTTGACCTTATCCATGTTGATATTTGGGGACCCTATCGACAATACTCACTAACTGCTACTCCTTATATGCTTACCATAGTTGACGACTTTAGTCGATCCACTTGGACTTTCTTGCTTGTACATAAAACACAAGTTGCACAAACCTTGGACAATTTTTTTCGAATGGTTGAAACACAGTTCAATAAAAAGGTTAAGTGCATTAGGACAGATAATGGGTCTGAGTTTCTCAGTCATGAGTGCCAGAAAATTTTTCAGTTGTTTGGTATCCTTCATCATCGATCTTGTGTTTATACGCCTCAACAAAATGGGGTGGTGGAACGTAAACACAAGCATTTGCTTCAAATAGCCTATGCTTTAATGTTCCACGCTTACCTGCAAAAAAATTTTGGACCTTTTCCTTGTTAATGGCCACTTTTATTATCAATAGACTTCCTACCCAAGTTCTAAATTGGCAAACCCCTTTTGAAATATTATTTGGTCACAAACCAGATTATTCCATGTTCAAAACCTTTGGTTTTTTATGTTATATAGTTAACACCAGGCCACACAAAAGCAAATTTGATTCCAGATCTCACAAGTGTGTTTTTCTTGGATATAGTCCTGGTCAAAAGGGTTTCAAAGTATTTGACATTGACACTAAACAGCTACACGTTTCCAGAGACAGAGAATTTTTTGAATCCATTTTTCCCTTTTAGGGTGCTCAATCTCATGAATCCGATATCACTTTACCTCTCTTTAACCCCTCTGATGTTGATCAAGATTTTCCCCTTTTGAAGAAAGGTATTGGTTCATCTCCATTACATGTTTTACCTTCACCAGCACAATATCTAGATTCTTCCTCTTCTTCTGACAATAATTCGAACCATGTATCCCTCATACAGGTTCCTTTCTCAGAACATCAACCTGTTAATGACTCCTCTATTCCCACTGTTCGACACAGTACTCGAACTAAGTCTCAACCATCCTGGCTACAAGATTATATCACAAATGTTAATATCGCCCAAGCTCTGCCAATTGCTAATGCTGTTTCATGCTGTACTAAGGTCTCTCCACATCATTCTGGGTATACTCCATCTACTTTTCCCTTCACCTATTCTCCTCAGCTTAACCCTTCATACAATGTTTTTCTGGCCAATGTATCAATTGCACAGGAGCCTACTTCATATAGTCAAGCCAGCAAAAGTGTTGAATGGATTAAGGCCATGCAACAAGAACTTGATGCACTGGAAGAAAATCAGACTTGGGAGTTAACCACTCTTCCGCCTGACAAGCAAGCAATTGGTTCCCGTTGGGTGTACAAAGTTAAGTTTCATGCTGATGGTACTGTGGATAGGTTCAAAGTCAGGCTTGTTGCAAAGGGTTACCATCAAATGCAAGGCATTGATTACTTTGACAGTTTTTCCCCGGTAGCTAAGTTAGTTACTGTTCGACTTTTCCTGGCAATTGTGGCCGGCAAAGGTTGGTCCATTCACCAGTTGGACATTAACAATGCCTTCCTTCATGGCTACTTGGAGGAAGAGGTCTATATGCAGCCACCTAAGGGTTATGCCAAGTCATTACCAGGTGTCACGGGCAGCAGCCTTACTTAAGCCCCGTGACGCTATCGCAGCCGCTGCACTTCGGCTGCACATTGTAAATATTTCATTTAATTGTAAAATAGTTGATAATTAGAAAATTTTAGTATGATTCATCGGCCAAAAGACGTCTACTG